CCTGATTTGGCCTGATCAGGATGGCTGTCTGATCAGGTTGCTTATCAAACACGTTAGGATCGTGGAGCGCGTGAGAGGGAAGCAGCCGATGACAGCAACTTGACTTCAACTGCTTTATAGCAGTCGCTTAGAAAGTATTGCGACGTTAACAATACGCGGCAAAACAGCGCAGCAACGCCTTTCACCGATACACATTATCCGACCTGTGAAACAGTGCTGTGCCATGAGCTCAACATGTGTGGGCGCGGGGATACTCCACTCTACTGAGATGATCTATTGCTGTATTCACCAGGCCTCCCGGCACACTCCTCGTAGGTTCGGACATTTTATAAATGCGTTCGAGGCTACTTGTGGGAGGCGAGACTCTCTCAGTCACATTGATTTACACAGCTCTCGATCACCATGCTGCTCTTTGTGCTGACTGCGCTCGTGAGCATCACTGCTTCAGCGAATGCTCAGAACAACACCTCGAACACTTACACAAACCCAATCGTGCATCCTGGAGGTCAAGATGGGGGTGCCGATCCATGGGTGATCCGGCATGAGGGTCTCTATTACATGACATCCACTACTGTCGACAACATCACCATCCTGAGAAGCCCAATACTCACCGATTGGTCTGAGGCAGAGGTCAAGCTCGCCTTCGACCCTGCGGTAAGCGAAGCTTCTTGAGTCCTAAGTATCGACGATTCAGATCTAATGAATAGCAGCCTGGTCAGAACTATAGCACAAATCTATGGGCTCCCGAACTGCACAACATCAATGACAAGTGGTATATCATCTTCACGGCTGACCCAAATAACGACTCGCCTCCACCTGAGATAGAAGCCCTGTGCAATTGGAACTGCCCTGCTGTAAACCATCGCATGTACGTGTTGGAATCGAGCGGCTCTGATCCATGGACTTCAAATTACACCTTGAAGGGTGAGCTGGATACTTACGATCAATTTGCCATCGATGGAACATACTTCCAGCACTCGTCTGGGCTCTATCACATATATTCTTGCTGGTTTGACAAGTACCAATCTTGGCCAGCCAATCTGTGCATTTCGAAGATGTCCGACCCATGGACTGTCGTGACTAACGTTACGGAGCGACAAACAATCTCAGTGCCTAGTAATCCTTGGGAGAAAACACCATATGGAAGAATGGAGAACATCCGACTATCTTCAAACGAAGGCCCAGAACAACTCACCAACCCTGAGACTGGTCAACAATTCGTAATCTACTCTGCCGCAAGAAGTGACACTAGAAATTACTGCCTTGGTCAGCTCGAGCTCATCGGTGACGATCCAATGAATCCTCAAGACTGGCGCAAGAACAACGACGGTTGCGTCTTCTACCAGAATCCGAAAGAGAAGGCCTATGGCGTTGGACACGCGAGTTTCACCAAGAGCCCAGATGGGACGGAAGACTGGATCGTGTACCACGGGATGGAGAATCCCTTTTCTGGGTGGTCTGCAAGGACGATCCGAGCCCAGAAGTTCGGCTGGAACGAAGACGGCAGTCCGAAATTCCCAAGACCAGGATATGGACCGTATGAAGTTCCAAGTGGGCAGAACGTGAGCATGAAGATGTTTTGAGGGCAGGCGGAAATCGAATCTGCAGGTCGAAACTTGGCTGTGTCTCGTTACCCAGCAGGAATACCGCAGTAGAAATTGCAAGATGGACCTCGCAGACAGCTAGAGATAGCATGCCAATAACTCGGCGCCCACATTCCAAAGTTCATGCTCCCACAATCGTGATGTTGCATACCGTGGCTTCGAGGGCACAATTGCCTCACGAGTCTCCATATGCTCGCAATCAAGCTGTAGGGCCGCCTTCTACGTTGTTGTGCCCACCGTGATCAAAGAGAAGAAGAAATACTCAAGCCTCTTACCTCTCTGTGTACGAATTGTGCACGCTGCCGTCTCCTCTTCGCATGAACCTTGGCAACAGTACCTTGGCCGATGCCTTCACAGCTCTTTCGAGCACAACATACACGGTGTATGCAGCTGACCGCAGTCGCCCGCACGAGGTTTCGCTACGCGATACAATGCTCTTGTTTGTGCGCTGCAGCTGCCCGCTTCCCGAGACCTCGGAGCTTGTCGGTGTAGTTTCGATATCTTCCATCACGTCGTGCTCATACCACCGTGCCGTGCAGTCATGCGATCTTTTGGTATCCCTCTTCTTGCTAGGTACCAAATGAGTGACGCGCGAGAAACGCAGCACAAGAATGTAATCACATATCCCGCGTCTTCAGCCAATTATCCCTGCTTGAAGCAATCTGTGCATCTCTTTTTGTGAAATGTGAGCTGCAGCGAACCGGTGACACGAATGTGGGTTCTGCTGTGAAGGGATCTCGGCTGTCTTGACTTCATCGCGTCCACTGCAGGCGCGACGAAGAGGAGCACTTCGCACTGCGAGGCGCCGTCGACAAGGTGTTCGCGACCAGGTTGCTGGTGTGCCTGGACAACACGCCTCTGAGCTCCGTTCATTCGTCGCAGCTGTTGCCAACCCTGCAGCTTCCAGTCGAGCTGCGCGCGTGCAAGCACTGGATCCCGCGGTAGAGTTCGTCCCCCTCCCGTCCAACGTCACCAGGAACACCTCCTGTTCCCTTGGAATTCCGCCCGCAGATCGGCCAAGCAGAGGATGTGGTACGGCGACTCTTATGCTCAGCCTTAGCAAGCACTAAGTCGCGCGCGTCTGGATGCCAATCGGCTACCGAGGTTGTCCCTTGCAAAAAGCGTCCATTCATATCCATATCGTGGACGGCGAATGAGACCTGCCACGCATGAGCCAGGATGTTTCCATCCTGAATTGGTTGCAGAAGCTTCAGGCCCGCGTTTTAAGGTTGTAGCCTCCCCTGGTCCAAGTTCTGAGACTCCAGCCGACCTCCCAAGAACTAGGACCATCCTTTCGATGTAACAATGGCTGGCTCTCACTAACTAGACTAGGAACACCGGCTTGTGTGGAGCGAACTCGTATTTCTTGGTCTGGCTATATCCAACGCCTCGCTCGCCACCGTCTTTGAACGTCCCACCGGCCTCTGTCCAATACCTTCTGGCCTCCGTCAGCTTATCCAAAATGCGCGGCGTACTATCTGTCGCGTTGCTAGTGAGCAGCGTCAGTGCGATCTGGCCGTTGCCAAAAGAGTATCAGCACGGCAAAGACGTCCTATGGATCAATAAAGACAAAGTTGACGTCGAATACCACCAATCGGGATCTGTGAGCTTACCTGAATACCCGCCTGAGGAATACCTTCTAACCCACTCGGAACAGAACACTAAGCGTGAAGAGGGCACCGGATCTGCCAGCAAGATTGTTCAGAATGCTGTTCAGAGAACATATGATACTCTCTTCAGCAAGAACTTCGTGCCATGGATGTTGAGGCCTAGGCTTTCAAACTATGAACCGGACACCAACTCTAGCGGCACGTACATCACCACCATCACCATTCAGCAGACCGGGGCGGATCCAGACGATGTGAAGAAACCCGACACTGAGATCGACGAGTCCTATAGTCTGGAGGTCACTACTGATGGCAAAGTCACCGTTACTGCCAAAACTTCAATTGGCATTCTCTGGGGTCTCACCACCTTCACGCAACTCTTCTTCCAGCACTCAAACGGCGGAGTCTACACAGACCTCGCACCTGTTTCTATCAAGGATGAGCCAAAGTTCAAATGGCGTGGGCTCAACGTCGACACATCGCGCACCTTTAAGCCTCTGTCAGATCTCTACGCTATGATTGATGCTTTGTCTTACAACAAGATGAACAGACTTCACTGGCACGTTACAGATGCGCAGTCATGGCCACTCGAAGTTCCAGCACTGCCGGACCTTATGCCAAAGGGTGTCTACGAGCCATCTCAGAAGTATACTGTTGATGATGTGCGAAAGCTGCAAGAATATGGCTCGCTTCTTGGTGTCGAGGTCGCCATGGAAATTGACAATCCAGGTCACACTTCTTCGATCTGGTTCTCGGACCCAGACCTCATCGCAGCATTCAATAAGCAGCCCGACTGGACGACATACTGCGCAGAGCCTCCTTGCGGATCTCTCAAGCTCAATTCCACCAAGGTGTACGACTTCCTTGAGACTCTTCTCGACGACCTTCTGCCACGCCTGAAGCCTTTGACATCGTATTTCCACCTTGGCGGAGATGAAGTCAACAAGAACACGTACCTTCTAGACGACACTGTCAAATCTAACGAGTCGTCGGTCCTTCAGCCATTGATGCAAAAATACATGGATCGCAACATGAACCAAACCAAATCCTACGGTTTCACACCTCTTGTCTGGGAAGAAATGCTCTTGGACTGGAATCTCACTCTCCCCAAGGACACCATCATCCAAGCATGGCAATCCGACGAAGCCGTCGCCAAGATTACAGCTCAAGGATACAGAGTCATAACAGGAAACTACAACTACTGGTACCTCGACTGCGGTAAAGGACAATGGATCGACTTCGCGCCTTCCAACGCAGCAGGCTTCTGGCCATTCCTGGATTACTGCGCTCCCTACCACAATTGGCGTGCCGTATACAGCTACGACCCACTACACGGTGTACCTGAGAACTCCACACATCTCGTACTCGGCGGCGAAACGCACATTTGGAGCGAGCAGACTGACGCTGTTAACTTCCAGCAAATGGTGAGTGAAAATCAATACCTCCAGTATACATGTTCACACAAAGATACGATCACCACTGACACTTCCCACAGGTCTGGCCACGCACTTCTGCTGCAGCAGAGGTCCTATGGAGCGGCGCCAAAGACGCCCAAGGCCAAAATCGCTCGCAAATTGAAGCTTCGCCGCGTTTGGCGGAGATGCGCGAACGTCTTGTTGCAAGGGGCATGAAAGCGGAACCTGTCCACATGCCTTTCTGTACCCAGAATGGAACGCAATGCGCGTATCCTTCGTGATCTGGAGTGATGTAACGGGTTTTATGATGGAAGCTGTAGTAGTGTCAGGACACTCGAATGAGATTTATGTAGTGCGATATGGAAGCTATTTTTTTTATAACATGCAAGCTGTTTTCTTACGACGGTTTGGAAACAGAGAGACTCAATGTCGTTGGATGGCGTTTTCCTTCTCGAAGGTTGATCGCTTGCGCTCGTGCTTGGTCCGGTTTCATTTCGTGGTGCAGTACTGAGTGTGCAAGTACTGGTACTTGCCATTTGGTGTCGCTGTTCGATGTCAAGGTTGGAAGCCGTTCGGTGGCTGTCGTGATGCCGAAGGCTACGTGTGCTGCCTGGAAGCATCGCAAGTGCTACTTACGTGATGGATATGCAATACGTGCGAGCATGTGACCGTCGGTGTCCGTATCTGAGAGGAAGACGATCGTCAGCGATGTGACTGCCGTGGTTCACGTACGGCCCGGCACAGCTCGGCGTCTGACAGTACTACGAAGCTCCGGAATGTTTCATGTATTTAGTGGACACCTTCGAAACGAAGGCTACGACTTGGCACTCACTGTGCAATACTAGGAAGCAGTCTTGGGAGAGGTCGTCTGACGGAATGATCATTTTGCAGTTGAATATGCTATGCTGTATTTTACAGACCGACCAAGACGGTCAACTTGGCCAGCTGGTGAAATTGCCATTATTCAGTGGCGGCGTTACGGCCCCTAGAATGGTGGCAGCCAGAATGGGTATCCTCCGTTCTTCACGCGGAATATGCTGAGCAAGAACGAGTACACGGCAAGGATGATACCGCCCCACACTAGAACTGCGATCTTCTGTTGGCGCGGGTCTGCAATGCGTGGAGTCTTCAGCGCCAGGCTGATAGTCGCGAATGAGAGCACGCCATCTGGAATCGGTCAGTATATGTTCTGTTTGCTCTCAAGAGGCCAAAGGACTTACAGATTGCAGCGATGATCTGCGTTTCCATACCAAATTGGTTTTGAAACCCGCCAGCGAAGTAGCTCACGCCTCCCTTGCCGTCAGAAGCCACATATGGCACTTTCCTGATGTGATTAAACATGTGACCTGAGGTGAAGAGCAACACAGCAACCAAGCTGACGGCTGTCCACAAGCTGCGGCTCTGGATGACAGGCAAGATATATGGTGCAGCAACTGAGACGAAGGTGATGCCTCCAAGGATGGCGACAACAGTGGTCACGATCTTGATGTAGTTGATAGGGCGAACGACTGGAGGGTGCGGGCGACCTGGCATCTGACGAGCGATCCAGCTGTGCACAGGCTCAGCTTTGTTGATGCTAGATTGATGTTAGTCAAGTACACGCATTGGCAGCTAATGTCTTACCCAGTATTGAAGTCGAGTCGCTCCATAGGCTTGTCTGGCTTTGCGTTGGGCCCGGTGGTAGGGTGGAAGAAGAGCAGAACTGGCGCTGTTTGGAGCATCATCTATTTCATCCGTCAATACCTCCCGTTAACTTATAGTGTTACTCCATTGTTCCGTACCGACTGGAAAGTGGCCTTGCCGTCCATAAAGTCCAGGGTGCCGAAGACCAGCCTCGACTCCTTCTTCTTGTCTCCATTGTTCCAACTCTTTGCAAGCAAATCCCACTCTGGCTGAAATTCGTGACAGAGCTGGCATCCAAAGCGTGCGTCCAGCGCAGTCAACAAGACCGCCACCGAGTAATCGCGCGGAGCTTTGGTGAGCTTCTCGTAGGAACTGTCGTCGAGCTTCACAGGCTGCGGCTTCGCGCTCTGCACAGCGAATCGGTCGGCGGATGATTTCGATTTGGCAGCGAGAGAAGACAATGGCAGAATTGCCGCAGTAAGCAGCTGGAGTAACCTCATTTTGGCGATTGGTGCAAGACAATGCGATTCAATGGGAAGTGCTTCCCTTCATCCAGCAGCCAAAGGACAGCTTGTGAGTCTTGGCAGGAACGTAGACGTGGCTTCGGCAGTCGGCATTGTGGAGCCAGAAGCCCTAATTATGTGACCATTGTTTTGACCTGTCAACAGCGCAACCGACGCACACTCCACCACTGCGAGTACGCCTACAGCAGCATATCCTCTTATGCCCGCACACTCTACCAAAGCAGCCATTATGGCACCCATACCACAGCAGAATGGCGCGATGCATCAACACTCGCTCAACACTGCTGCTGCCGAGCTCAAATACGCAAACAGCACACATCTCGTCGACGTGATCGGCAAAGACGAAGACATTCGACGACTGCGTTTCGATATACATATCCTGGAAGACGACAATGACGAACTCCGTGAGTTGCTTGGTCAGGAAGAGGCGCGATCCGATCAATTCGAGCGCCTCGTCAACGAGAACCTCGCGCGTGCCGAAGCGGCCGAAGCGCGTCTGTCAGACCTGGAGGACGAGTTGCGGATGCGGGAGCAGGAGGTTGGCACCTTGCGGGCAGAGGCGAAAGCATTAGAGACCACAGCCGCAGATTCCGAAGCTTTCTTGACAGAAAAGCTGGCGCTGACACGAGAACTTTCCGTCCTCCGACCACAACTAGAGCACTTGAAAACACAGGCGAGCAACACCGAGGCTTTGATGACTGAGAAGTTGGAGTTGCAACGGCAGCTAACCGAGCTTCAATGCGAACTGGAGAATGCCAAACGCGACGTGAAGCGCGCCATGGCAAAGCGACGAAACACTGGTGTCGAGATCGCTCAGGAAGAGCAGGTCGAACAGCTCAAGAGGGAGCTCGCCAAGGAGAAGCGCGCTCGACAACGCGCAGAAGAGGCCACTGAGCCCTCTCAGTCAGATGTTAATGTTGACGAGGTGCGAAAAGAGTTGGCTCGTGAGAAACGCGCACGACAAAAGGCTGAAGAGGAATTGGAGGCGGCACACGAGAACACGCAGGTGGAAGACGTGCGGAAAGACTTGCTGAAAGAGAAGAAGGCCAAGAACAAACTTGAGGAGCAACTGGAGAGTTTGCAGGAAGAGCTTGCCAACGAAAAGAAGCGATCGGCCAAAGCACTCAAACAGGCTGGAGCCACAGCAACGGCAACAGCTGAGAACGACGAGCAACTTGAGGAACTTCGGACAGCACTTGCAAAGGAGAAGAAGGAGCGTGCAAAGGCCGAGAAAGCAGCAGAGAAGCAGCTTGCTGAGATCGAGGCTCAGAGAACCACGCTTGACGAGAAGCTTGGCCAATTTCGAACGAAACTGAGATCGACCAAAGAGAAGCTCAAAGAAACGGAAGCAGAGTTAGAGGCTGCGCGTGAGAGGGCCGCTTCTGCTGCGACCGCTCCACAAGTAAGGAAGACGGCGGCCAACAACAGGAAACGAAACGCGGCGGCCCTGGATGTCGATGCTACTACTCTGGGCACACCAGGCGACGGACCTACAGCAAAACGTGGCCGCAGAGCGCCTGCGGTGGGCGAGAAGTCCTCGTTCAGCATTACTCCTTTCCTTAATAGGACTGCTAGCATTGCTCCCGAGAGCGACCATGAGGAGGAAGATTCTGATGGCGATGCTCCCAATGCCAAGGAAATCGACGTTCCGACAGCTTCACCTACTGCCCTTGCAGCCACCACAAAACAAAAGAAGTTGCCGCTCGCGCAAGCTGATAGCAACATGAAAGTGAAGAAAGCTGCGCCTCGACAACGCAAACAAAAAGCAGCGGCACCAATGCTTGACATTGTCACAGAAGAGCCGGAAGACGTGCACAGCCAGGGTCAAGAAAACGACGCTGCCTCGAAAACTGCTGCAGCGAAGACGATCAAAACCAAAACACACGACGGCGACGATCCCGAAAACCCAACAGATGCGGCGACGAAAAAGAAACAAAAGAAGCGCAAGTCGCTCGTGGATTTTGAGACCTTCAATAAGCCTGAGGCTGCAAAGAAAGTACAGAGCAAGAAAAACCGCAAGCTGGGAGGACTAGGCAAGACTTTGTTTGATGAAGAAGAGGAAGCTACTGCGCCCGCCAAAGCGCTTCCTGGCAGGATGGTGCTCGGAGGCCGTGGCTTTGGCGCTCTCGGGGCTGGAACGAAGAAGGCTGGTGGTTTCCTCGGCGCAAGCAAGATCGGATCGTCCATATTGATGACTGCGCAGGATGGCAGTGGCTTTCAGTTCAGCCCTCTCAAGCGAAGGCGAGGGAACCTCGATGACACGTTGAGGGGCTGAGAGCTTTTTATGCAATCAAAACGGTCTACAGGACGTTCTCATTATTGCTTTTGACAGCGAGGTAATTGGTTTAGCGTTTGGCCTTCCGCTGATAGCATGAATGAAGAGCATTGCCACTTCTCAGGGCCCGTCCCAGGCGAACCTACTCCGCACGAAGCTGGCAAGACATGGTGCAAACCGCATGCTCACGATTATAGCACGCCTGCGTACGGGCGCCGATACTCGGACCGAGACAACTCCTCCATGACAGGGGTCGATGCATCTGCATGCAAGTCATCAGCAACCATGACATTTCTCACCATTGCGACCACACCCTCAACGCACTTCGGCCCCGCGACTATACAGCTGGAGCACCGCCACATGCCGCTGATTATGGTTGATCGTCCATGATCATGAGGACACTCATGTGCATAGGTCCAGTATCTTTGCTGCCGTCCTACATCACTCTGTAAGCTTCACAAACATGTCCATTCCCTTCGCCTCCTTTCACGAGCATGATTTTCGTACTGTACCGGACACTGCAGCTACTATCATCTATCAATAACGTGGCCCAGCGATTTGTGCTCCCTTTTTTGATTAATCTGTTTCACGGCATGACTCTCGCTGACGCGCTGAGACAAGAAGAACACGCGGGCGAGAACGTCATAAGACAGCAAGTATTGATCCACCAGCAATTGACACCTAGCGCTTGGCTTTGCGGCAGCGCACCGGAAGCATGGGAGCCAAACGAGCCAGAATTCGAGATGCCTGTATTCCATGGTCACAACCCAAGTCGTGACGAGAGTTCCGATGTTGACAATGCTTCGTGCATCGATATATCACAGGGCGACCCACGACTGGACTGCATTGAACTCGACACTTCGACATTGAGGAACTCTCAGGAAAGCGCGACTTCTAGAACCCGCTCAGCAGGCACTTCACTCAGGTTAAACCGCTTTGAACGACATCGAGGCGAGATTGAAGACATGCATCTGCTCATGATCGGTAGGCAGATCAAAGGCCATAGAAATGGCGAACTAAAATTCCGTACCGATTTCGAGGCTTGTTTCAAGGAATTCCCCCTGGAGCATGTGTACGAGGCGCACTGGTCATGTCACTCTCCAGTCAGCGCTCAGACTTCTATACGGAGTTCTCGTGCCAGCAGCAACCGACGACATGCCCTAGAAAATGTCTCTCCACTATTGCAGCCGGAGGTGAATTCGGAAGAATGCGAGGTGTATGAAAATGCCAAAGTCAAGGGCCAGCTTAACGACATCATGCTGCCGCGAAATCTCGACGGGAGTCCTATGGCAGAACTCGACGCATCGCCAATACAAGATGATACTGGGCATTCTGCCAACACGCCGAGCACTCCTATGATTCCATCCTTCACGGCGGAGCCACCCATCAGACCGAGGCCACGACTGGCATCGGATCGACTGTCGAAAATGCTCGCGACTCTCCGGCCTCTGTCGTGGGCAAAACGCGCATCGGTTCATCTCAAACAGATCAAACACAGTGGACTCCTTCCAGATCATCCTCTCGACGAGCGCATATCCTCAACCACTGGAGACCGAACATCAAGCGAGCCTATCTGGGACATCGGATCGAGTAAGAATGCTCTTGCGTACAGCCCCAGGACACTGGATGTGACGATAGAGCATGGCGGTCTGGAAATGCCAAGTCCTTTCAGCAGCCCTACAGAGCTGAAGAATCCAGCCCTAGTGCTGACATCACTTCCACAAAGCGATGAGTGCGATAGTGAGAGTAGCGGTGATGATGACTCAGATGACATGTCTTTGCCGGAAGGCGTGACAGTTGGAGGGTGTTGGATAGCTATCGCTTCGCATGAGCAGTAGAACTAATACGGGCGGAGAAACTGTGCAGGAGCAGGGTTGCTCGGTTACCGATCAGCTTCGTAGCATTCGCAGATGATGCTAACGATATTATGAGTTCGAGGAACAGTCTAGACCTGTGATGCAGGCTTAGTCGCAGTCTTGCAGATAGCAGATTTGGAAGTCCGTGGAGATGTAGTAGGGCAGGTCGCTTGGACATCGGCTGAACCTGCCAGAGCTCAGCTCAGCTGGCCTGTGGCTGAGATGCACAAGCGGAGAATAATGTAATATCATGCAACGACTTGCATAGACATATTAAGAAATATCAAGCCTTCTCCGTATTCCGTGAACGGAAGAACCAACTACCCCGCGCCAAGCAAGCATTGATCTGGTGAAGTCTAGGATCCGAGACGCGACTTCTGGTGACACGACGTAAACAAAAGTATCAATTCTGCCCATCCTCATCAAGATGACGAATTGGCTTCCAAAAGTACGCGTCGCTGGTAAGTCAACACTCACAATCACAAAATCCAACCCATTTCCAACCCATTAGCCATAAACAAAATATACTCACCCACCCAACAGCCTGCAACGTCTCCCCCATTTTCCTCAACACCCCCGCCACCGTCCAAAAAACCATAACCCTCATCCAAGAAGCCGCCCACAACAAAGCCGACCTCGTCGTCTTCCCCGAAACCCACATCCCCGCCTTCCCCCTCTGGTCCGCCCTCTCAGCCCCCATCGACAACCACCACTTCTTCCAACGCCTTGCGTCCCAATCCCTCCACATCTCCTCCAAAGAAATCCATCTCCTCCGCCGCACCTGCGCGTCTTCCAAAATCTTCGCGCATATAGGATTCAATGAACGATCTGAAGCTAGTTTAGGTTGTTTATGGAATTCTTCGATTTTAATTTCCGATCAAGGAGAAATTCTGAATCATCATCGAAAATTATGTCCGACTTGGTTTGAGAAGTTGACGTGGGCGGGTGGTGATGGAGCGGGGTTGAGGGTTGTGGAGAGTGAGAGGATTGGGAGGGTTGGAGGGTTGATTTGTGGAGAGAATACGAATCCTCTAGCGAGGTGGACGTTGATGGCGCAGGGGGAGCAGTTGCATGTTAGTACTTGGCCTGCTGTGTGGCCGACTAGGAGGCCGAAGGGGACGTTGAATGCTAATAATGGTGATGGTGATGGGAATGGGAATGCTGCTGAGGTTGGAGATGAGGGCGTGATGGGGAAACAGTACGATAATGTGGCTGCTAATAGGACTCGGACGGCGGCGCATTGTTTTGAAGCGAAGTGTTTTGGGGTTTTGTGTAGTGGGTTTATGGACCGGGAGATGAGGGATGAGATCGTGAAGTTTACGCCTTCGGCGGCGGAGACGTTGGACTCTTTGACGCAGGGTGCGAGTTTGTTTTTGGACCCTACTGGGGCGCAGGTGGGAGAGCAGGTGCAAGGGGAGGAAGGAATTGCTTATGCGGATCTGGATCTGAATGAGTGTGTTGAACCGAAGCAGTTCCATGATGTGGTGGGTGGGTATCAGAGATTTGATGTCTTTGATTTGAAGGTGAACAGGGAGAGATTGGGTGCTGAAAGTGCTTTTGACGGAGAGAGGTCTACGACGACACAACCGCAGTGGAACTTCACTTCGTTGCCGAGAAGAGAAGAGGATGCAAGTACTGGAACGGACGCAGGTCTGGCAAGACTCAAGGCCGAGCTGGACGGCATGAAAGATGATGCCTTACAATCTGCAACGAAAGGAGGGAAATAAAATGCGTCGCTGTATCAACACTGCACATGCTCTTGTACAATTCCTTAGCCAGATCCCGCAGGACGAGCACTGCTCAGACTGATGATTTGTCCTCCACCGCTAGCCAGTTGAGGTAGCTTCCTCCATCCAGGAACATCCGCGCTCGCCCTCTGCTTGACCACACTCCAAGGCGGCGGAAATCCTGCAGCAACCACATTCCCCGTCTTCATACCCAGCATCACAAGCTTGAGCTGCGCGTGCACTACGTTGCCGACAACGAACCCTTGACTGATCAGTGATGACAATTTAGACTCCACCGAGGTCGTCGAGACAGTTGTGCCGTCCTCTTCTTCTTCTCCTCCTCCAATGCCATCTGCACCATCGAAATCTGGGTCCACATACGTTCCTGCTTGAGGATCTGCTGATAGCTTTTCCGCAAGGGAGAAGGCTTGCGTGAGCTTATTGATGTCGACGAGCGTGTTACCCGCGTGTTCTGGCCGACCCTTGGCTCCGGATATGCGCCAAGTTCCAATGATCAGAGCACGCCAGACATGCACTTCACACCTGTTGCGTAACTGCAATAGCACACGGAAGTGAAGGAGCCAATCTGCTGAAGGCGAGTCATAATCCAGATGCTTTCGGAATAGAGCAAGATTTCCTGTTCGCATGGCATGCATGATCGGTCCAAAGTGTTGTTGAAAGTGTAATGCCTCGGGTCGTTCCAGTAGAGCTTGAGACGGGAAGCGGCCGAGAATGAGGTTGCATGTCGTGAGAAAGACCAGGATGTACCTTCGTTGTCTGACGCATGACGGATCTGCTGGACTAAGATCATAGGCATGTTGCAAGGCTTCTTGCGCTCGGTAAAAGTGATTCGTCTGAAACAGGAATCGTCCGAGGTAGTACAAGTACGTGACTTGCTCGCTTCGCGGGTATGCTGAAAGAGGAGGTGACTGATTTCCGATGTTGATGAAGATCATCGTCGCGTTGCGTGTCTTTCGGCATTGGAACAAGATCTTCAAACATATGTTCGCGATCTTGTAGATTCCCCTCTTCTTGCCAGTGGGTCTTCCGTCTTTGCCAAGGCCAGAGGTACGGTCATTGAGGCAGGTTGTGAAAGCCTTTCGCAGAGTGTCCGCTGCCCGCTCGGGGAGTGTATCTCTGGGACCGCCATCTCCATCGTCATTCGCGTTGGTGTCGGATTTGAGATGAGCGATCAACTCGGGTTGTTTGTCGAGTCCAATGGCGAGGCGACAGACCAATTTGGCGCAATTCACAACTGGCAACAGCATTAAGTGGCCGTAAGCTGGATGCACCAAAGCGCTCTGTGCTTTCTCTTGCAGCGCGATCAGAGCATTGTAGGTCTCCAGGTATCCATTCCGCTCGAGGTCGACGTCACGAAGGTAAGTGAGATAGGTCGTGACAAAAGATATGAAAGGAGTCCACGTTCCATTGCCGCCAAACCCTTCTCGAGCAGCTACTAGTGACGAAGTGCACTTCTGCTCGAGCGAATCTTCATCGCCGCTGGGAAAGGCTCTTCGCAGCTCCTCGATCATCTTTCTGTGGTCATCTGGAAAGGGTGGTTCGAAGGTCAAGATGCTTGTGAGCTGTGCTTCGTTTTGTGCTTGCACGTAGCCGTTGATAGCGGTCAAACACTGGCCCAGCATTGGGGTCATCGCGACCTGGGGCGCCATAGTAGGCGGCGCGCTCTTGCAGCTGCTGTTCCGCGCCCCTAGCCTAGGACCAGCGTTGGAATCTGCCGCGTTCGCGATGTTTGGACGCGCGAAGTACTGCAGTAATGCGCCTGACAGCCACTGCTGAACCTCGTTCAGTAAATCTGCAAGACCACTGCCGAATTTGTCGCGAAATCGATGGTTGGCGTGTTTTAGCAGCGAGGCAATGTCTTGAGCCTCGAGTTCGGAGTTGAAGGAGGCGCGAGCCAGCGATGGTGCAGTGAATTCCAGATAGTTACTAAGCCATTGCCGGGTGAATATAGGTGCTGTCGTCGGGGGCTCGTCGCGCCAACGCTTGTACTTCGCTGCGCCGGGAACCTTAGGAACCAATTTTTTGCGCTGTACAAAAGTGAGTGACTGTCTGTCCTAGAAGAGAAGTGGAGATTGAAAGTGAAGGGCGACATACCGGAAGCGGCTCCGTTCCATTCTGATTGGGTTGCTCTGACGAAGCCTCACCCCAGGCCATTTTCGAAGCACTTCGTGTAGCAACAGCAGTGGTATAACGAGACAGCAATCGCCGACGAGACGGTGCAAACGCGACAGGCACCACGCCCAATGCAGAGAAACATCCTTTGTCTATTGTCTCATTGTTGAGCCACCACCACGCTCTTCCCGGAACTATGCAGTAGCGCGGTAACGAGAAGGGAGCGATGCGCATTACTGTTCGACGATACATTTGTGATAACTTATTGGTTGCTCTTTTCCGTAAATATTCTACATAGAGGAAACCCCATTCGCACAAAGTTGGGTATTCTCAAGGAACAGAAAATAAGACACAGCAATCTTGCCCATACCGTAGAAAGCAGAAAGACACATCAAACATCCTGGGCGGTTCCCTTCCTTCACTATCTGTTGACTCCCCTTCGACCGAGCATAGAACAAAAGTTTGACATATTTGTGCAACGCTCAGCGGTGCAAAAGGGGAACTTTTGCGGCTTGAACGTGAAAGAGGCTGAATCCGAACGCTACCGGTGGTCGTCCTCGTGAGAGGATGGGTTCGTCCGTGATTGTTTGTTTGATGGGACATCTCTGATATCCTCGGACGCAGGAATGCAGCAAACTGTTGCCGCGGTAATATATGTGACAAAGCAATCGTGGACAGCAGGACGTTATTCATCAATGCAAGAAGGATCCAAAATTGATCGCTCTAAGTAGTGCTGACTGGAGACTACATCGCCTGACCAGGAACCGGCTTCCTTGTTGGCACTTGGGAGCCGGTCGGTGGAGACGTAGGACCATTCGATCCATTCGATCGTGCTGTCATTGGTCTCTGCTCAGTTGGGGATGCAGAGCGAGCAGATGATGGTGTTAGCGGACGTGGTTGCATGGCACCAGGAGGGCCCATTGGGCCTCGTGGTGGGCCATGTGGAGGAGGCGGGCCACGCTGCTGACCATTTGGAGTACCTGGGCGCCAGCCTCCTGGCGGTGGCGGACCTTGTGGTCGTGGTTTCACGGGGAGCTTAGACAGGCATGTGCGTGGGGCCACGCCTTGCTTGCTGCGGTCCATCGTGATACAGAGCGCCTGGGAGCAGGTCAGTATGGAAGTGCTACTCAGAGCTAAAAGCGAGCGGAACTTACCCATCCATCATCATATTCGTGCAGTAAGCGGACCAGGGCACCGGAAATGAGCTCGAGCTCATCGTCCATGCTAGGTTTGAAATCGAGTTGCACACGATGCACATTGTTTGGCTGTCCTGGTGGTGGTGGACCTCGGGCACCTCCTGGCGGGCCGGCGTGAGCTGATCTAGGCGTTGACGGTTCGCTGTCGCGGTGGCCGTGGGCAGCAATGGCACCCGCAGCAGCTACAGCACCTACGGCGGCAGCTGCTCCATTGCCGGACTCGTTGGAGCGTCGTTGTTCATCGAAGGGGTTGGCTGGAGGGCTGTCGGCACGAGCTTGCTTTTCGGACATCACAGTGGCGTCGGCAAATGGATCTGATCCGTTGTTCGATGGAGTTCGTTCCCATGACGAGTTGCGCTTTTCGTTAGAGTTGGCGAGTCCATTGTTCTTGTTGTCGCCAAGCATGGGCAAGAATTGAGTGACAGGACGCAGGCTTAGACGTGGTGCGGTGGAGGCAGTGCGGGTCGAATGTTCGGTGCTGGTCGAGCTGCGCTTGTTGGCGGCAGCAGCTGCCATGCCGGCAGATGCGCCACCAGCAGCCATACCGGCGCCTGGAGCAAATGCGACAGGGTTCATACCACCAGACATGCCACCAGAAAGGCCACCGTTCGCCTCAGCCCTTCGTGCCCCCACATCGGCAAAGCTACCGTGTTTCTCGTTCATGGCATCAGGTTTGGCAGGCTTCTTCCTTCTCCAGCAGAAGTAAACAAGACCGGCAGCGCAGGCAATGATGGCGATGATGCCGAATGCGAGACCGGCTTTGGCGCCCCCTGTCATTCCTTCACTCGAGGAGTCGGCAGTCGCCGGAGCAGAAGTAGCAGCACTAGTGGCCTGGATAGGCGTGCCACCAACATACCTGCCACCGGTAGATGTTGCAGTCGCGAAGGTAGTCTGCTGCTTGCTGCTAATTGGGACGATGGTCGAGGTGGGAGCGGCATCATCATCGTCATCGTCACTGGCCTTCGTTCTGGTGGCACTCGAAGTCGATGCAGGTCCGGTGTAGAAGTTGGGCCCACCGCCCACAGCATCTGTCGTCCTCGCAGGGACGGTCGCCTCCGGATCGTACTCGCCAGTCAAGGTAGAGTAGACTGCTGGTCCATCGAAGGTCTGTGGCAGCGTCACGTAGACAACTGACGCTCCGCCGCTGTCCGAACCCTGCTCGTCGTCGAACCCATCAGGCACGTGCATTCTGATCCTGTCGTCGTGGAGGTCGCGCTTGCGGATCATGAGTTGCTCGCGCGCATCTTCGCCGCGAAAGACGCGTCCGTGGGTGTGTCGCTGGTGAAGGCCCATGGTGGATGTTCGCGCGAGCGCGAGTCGCCGCGTTGGTCAAGAGAAATGGTCCAGAAAGCGAGAAGACAAGTGATGTTCGGCAGATGTGGTGGAATGCGAGAGGCTGTCTAGAAAGGCCTGTCGCAGCGCAAGGAATGTATACAATCGCAAGGGTGGGGAAAAGGGTCGTCGTCAGTCAATGGCGACGCCTGTGAAAGAGTGACTGCGGTGAACAGGTCGCCAAACGAAGGGCGACGACACTGTGACGCCGCTGGCGGAGAAGGAATGTGAGGCCCCGGGGAGGGAGGTGGTCGACGGCGAGGTGAAGATGCGAGTCGCGCAGCGAACAGCAGCTTTGGGGCGACGAGGAGGAGGCCGTGGTGCAGCCCAGGAATCCATCCCATTGCAATCTCGCTAAAGGCAATTTAGCGCACCCGCTTTGACCCAAACAGAACACTCTGCCACCGAATCACTCGCCGCGCGCGCGCGTCGACGCCGCGTTTTGACTTTGCCCGCTCGCCCACTGATCGCGACGTCGAGAAGATTGATCATGACGATCCGCCAGCGCGGCCACGAGGTGCTCGTCCATCACACTGGCCGCGGTGCGACTGCTCGCTGCACATCGCAGCAGTGCAGTTCACATCATCAGCAGCGCGTGCCCAGGACATCGTGGTGTGCTCAATCTCGGCGGCGCTCGTGGTCCAGTGAGAGCTGGCGTGCGGCCGTTTCGAGCAGCCTCGTCAGCGCAGGGGCAGCTCTTCTTGCACCCACAGCACCCACCAACGTCCGCCTGCCATTGGCCAGCACCCGGCCTGGTCTTGGACCATCTTCACTCCAGCGCAGCCCCGCGGTCGGCCGTTGCCATACCAATATCGCCGACCAGCCAACTCCATCAACAGCGATCTGCGCAGGCTACACGCCTGTTGGCGATATTGATCTTCAGCGTGGCAATGGCAATGGTCGAGGCCGTGGGCATGACCATCACCCGCTGGACCAATGCACAACACGATGCACGACATGAGTTCTCGCATGTTCTATTTCTGGCAATGCGAAAGTTGTCCAGGTACCAGCTTGTGCTTGCGCTGATCAAATCCGGACACTTGATGACTACAACTTGAGACCAGCCCTGCAGAATACAAGTATCAATGCGGTGCTGGGGCACCTCTTCTCCCCACTCCGAAAATGCTCGCTACGCATTGAATCCATTGAGAAGCAAACACGGTCGACCGCAGCCGTGTTTCACGTCGAGAGGCCGCGAGCTCGCGTGTCTCAATCCTCGATAATCAGACTCGGACATGTCGCATCGGGATCACGAGTGCACGACATCTGTATTCCAGCGCAAACGACGGTCGGCCTCCACCGGAGGCGCTACTTGTAGCCTGGAGCGTTCAGCGCATCGCTCGCTGCGACGGCTTGACATGCGAAGCGTAAATTACGCCTTGCATCGATAGGATGCACACACTGGATGAGCTTTCGGCACAGCGATCAAGACATCAGTAGAAGAAACATGAACAAGTGATAGGTTACAAGTTAGGTCATCTGCACATCGACATCAATCACTAGTTCGCTGCACTGCATCGAGCACGTTGGGTGAGGGAGTTTTGAATAGCGGCGCTGATCTTTCACAGCTCGATGAGTACTAATGAAGGCTACGTGTGCGCCGCACCAAAATACAAGTCGTGCAACACATCACTAAGCACGGCCACTGCTAGAAATCATGCGCGCATCCAGCTTGGTTCTTGGTGGATTGGCCACGGCTCCGTCGTTGGCAGCCGGAGCGACCTGCACTTCTCACACAATCAAAGTGACTGCAAGAGCGAGCAATCGCGTCATATTCGCGCCCACCACTGATCTCAACTCGCCCTCAGGCGTGCTCTCCATTCTTGGATCAGGTGCGGGCTTGCTCGGCCAACTGACTGGATTCATTCCCGTTTCTGGCACATACGATATTGCTGCAAAGTTCTGTCAACCACAACAGAACCCACAGGCTCCAGCAGAGCGTGCAACCGAAGTTCAGCTACTGCTTCATGGAGTTCCGTACAATTCCGTCAGTCTCTGTAGCATCCACGAGGCGCAACCGCTAACGTAACACAGAGCTACTGGTTCGGCCTACCTGGAAACCCCGACGGCACTGCTGAATATGATTGGGTCGAGTATGATGGTCTGCCTACGGCGTATATTATCGAAGCTGACCTGGAGCAGATACGCCACCAGCCTTGGCTACCCGGTCCTCGCAATCGACAATCTTGGTGCTGGAGACTCACAGAAAGCCAACCCGTTGACTGAGGTGCAACAGCCACTGCAAACTGCAATAGTCCATCGCATCGTACAGCAGCTCCGCGCAGGAGAGCTGAGCTTCGCACCAAAAGCCTCCAAAGTCATCTTTGTTGGTCATTCTCTGGCTTCGGTTATTGGCAATGCCATTGCAACGAAATTCCCCGCAGACCTCGACGCCTTGATACTGACGGGATGGAGTTATAATCTTGTCCAAGCCGGCTTGGGTCTTCTCTTAACTCTGGTCACACCAGCACAACTCCAGAATCCTGCAAAGTTTGGTTCTTTCCCTCCAGGATATCTGGCCTTCGGATCTCGTCAAGGGAAGCGCGACGCCTACTATGCAGAAGATGGCACATTCAGCTCAGCGCTCGAGCAATGGGACTTTGAACATCAGGACACAATCACCTTGGGCCAGATAGTGTCAGCTTTCTCTGGACTACAGCGAGCAGATGCGTTCCGAGGCGATGTCCTCGCTCTCACCGGACAAGAAGATGCATTCTTCTGCGGACCAACTGGGTCACGCGCGCTCGGACCTCAGACCTGTGGTGAAGGTGACAACAGTGTACCCGCGAGAAGCAAGTCCTTCTTTCCAAACGCCAACTTCGAATACGACCTCGCGCCCAACACGAGCCATGCTACGACGCTCCACTATAGTACACCTGGAAGTATCAGGGCCGCGCATGACTTCCTGGCGAGGAGTGGATATTGATTTCGCGAGTTGGTTTCTGCACGAAAGACGGTGGCAGTGCACTCTTCTCAGCGACAAATGACAGCACATTGGAATCGATGCATCAGCGAATGATTTCCCCATTTACCGAGATACTAAGATCTGCATTTGGTTGTCGATGGGAGCGTTGTGGCACATTGGAGCTCCAATGTTCGCCTATGCGTCGGGAATGCAGCGGTGATAGCTGACCTCCATCCTCACCTCCCAAGACAGACCGTGCCAAGTCATTGCATGTATCACGTACCATGAATCGGTTCGATCTCGCATACGGTCCCTTCAAGATACATCGGAGTATCTTATCCGACAGAGCTAGCTCCTGCGACCGCATACCACAGCATTGCTGCGGGGTGAGAGGGTCTGATCAGCAAATAGAGGGGGTGAGGGGTCTCGTTCGAATGGATGAAGAGGCAATGAAAACTGTTGCGAAGGCAGCATGGATCTCTGTTACACCATCAAGGTACTCCAACGAAGTCATACCATAACATACTACCACAACTATGTCCAGCGACCCAAAGCCGAAACAAGCGACCCCGATCGGTTTACCGAAAGGCTCCACATCATGTGAAGTGTCGATCATCAATTGCACGTGCGACTTGGTCGTTCCGCCCGCGACGTTGATTGAACCTCACATCGATGGTCACGAATGGCTGAATTTACCAACTTATGCCTTTCTCATCACCCACCCTTCTGGTGCCCAGCTCCTCTTTGACCTGGGCTGTAGAGCCGACTGGGAGAATCGTAAGCAAAAGAAGTCCTTGCATACAATTTCACGCCATTAATACTGAGACACACATACTGACATTTTCACTTCTCGCTCTTCAATAGTCGTCCCAGCCGTCAGCCAAGTCGTAGCCCAACGCGTCCCCGGTCTCCGCGTCACAAAAGAAGTCCCCGACATCCTCACCCAGGGAGGCATCCACGTCCCCTCTCTCAAAGCCCTAATCCTCAGCCACTGGCACTTCGACCACTCCGGCAACATTTCTCGTCTCGATCCTTCAACAGATCTCATCGTTGGTCCAGGTTTCACAGCAGCGTTCTTACCCGGATTTCCACAAAGTACTTCAGTTTTCTATGAAGAAGATTTCAAAGATAGGAATGTCATCGAACCGCCTTTTAGCGATGATTTCATGATTGGGAAATACCAAGCTCATGATTATTTCGGTGATGGATCGGTTTATATTTTGAATGTACCGGGACATACGACGGGACATATTTCGGCTTTGGTGAGGACGACGGAGGATACTGCCATCTTCATGGGTGGGGATGTTTGTCATTTTACTGGTAAGTCCACGTCTTCCTCACATTGTGTGTTGCATTGTTCCGCAACCCGACTGACGGAACAATAATCTTGCAGGTGTAATCCGCCCCACCGAATACCTCCCCATGCCCGACCCCTTCCCCACCACCACAGTCCTCGAC